CGCGTGCCGGCTTGGAAGTTTCCCGAATTGATTTTCGAACCAGTCGGTTTCGTGTTGGGAAAATTGCAGGGTTTTCTGCAATTTCTGGAAAGCTTTCCATACTGGTTATGATACCAGCACCAGTCGGGGTTATCTGTCTCTCGTGGTCTAGAGATAGATCGCTTACGAGAAATGCTTCTACGTGGTGTGCGCGATCTGTTACGGTCGGTACGAAAACTAAGATAACGCGTGAGTGTGTGACATAAGTCGGTTATATCATTCTGAGTCGTGTGAGGCTTTTCTTTGACTGAAAATACCTCGTTAGTAGATTTCGTAATTTCTAAAATGCGGTCGGCAGATGCAGTTAGTTCGTCTAAGGCGTTGTTCTGGAACGAGACCAGAACTGCTTGCACCTGTTGGGGAAGTTTTGACAAGAAGAGTTGTTTGAATAGGCCTTCGTCGAAAGTTCTTGAGCCTATAACCTCTCTCATCCGTTGCAACATGTCTGTCGCAGAACCGTGTTGCAGGTCGATAGTGTTGAAGAGTTGATCTAACCTTTGTCGATCGGTTAGGTCTCCTCGTTTAAGAATCGAGCGTTTTAAGATTTCGTAAGGATCGGAAACATCACTAGTAAACATACTAGGTGTTACGTACCTGTTGAATTCGCGCGGTAGTGCTTTGACTACTGCGAGGAATTGTGCACGTGTGTCGATCACGCCGTGCTCGGAGAAGTCGGCTTCTGCGTAGCAAAACCAGGCTTCGATGTTGTCGGGCCAGAAAGGCATGCGTTGAAACGAAGGCGGGGACAAAGTCTTAAGCTTGAGTACTTTAGTTGTCTGTTCAGTCATGATGAAATATGAAGTACGATAATGAACGAGGGGAAAATATATATATCCAGAAAAAAACACGAAAAAAATCACAATGTTTAAAAAAAAGTAAAAAAAAATAAGGCAATGATATATAAAAATCCCAAAAATGAACAGACTCACAGTTGCAATTAGGTGTACCAGATCACGTCGGGCTCACCAATGATGATGTCACAGGTATTCAGTGTTTGACAACGCTTCTACCAGTAACACCTTCTAATATATTTCGTTCCCGCCCAGAGAAATCAAAAGACAGAGTCGAGGAGATCGGAAGAGTGTATTTGGCGATGACCAATATATCGGAATTCTCTGATCTAATCTGGCTAGCGATTGCGGTTGATGTTGAACACGGCGTTACCACACGTGATCTGGTGCGGATGCCTGACCGAGCGCCTTCAGCTAGATGAGTCCACTAAAACATATGGTCAGCATCCAATGTCGAAAACTTACAGAGCTATTTATTTTAGGGATTTATTTACCGCTACAGCACAAACTTCAGATAGAAGTGAAATGTTCGAATTTCTCCATATGCGTTTCACAGCTTGTTCTGTACAACTCGATGTTGATTGGTTCTTATTGACCTTAAATTTGTCATTGTTTACTCCTTTGTTTTGGTTGTGTCTCCCATTGGTTTGATTTTCGTTCCAATATTTGTGCATGATTTTCCTGATTGGTTGGTAAATTGGATTGGTTTCAATATGCTTGTTGATTGCTGATTGAACTGAGTGCCAGGCTTTTAAAAAAATTCTCTGGTGTTTTTGGAATTTTAGTCTGTCCAAGATTTCCACGGTTTTCCAATCGAATGAGTGTCCGCAGTTGTCCACGTGAAGAAGTATCATCGCGTTTGACTTCTAATTGTTCATGTAGGAGAGGGTGAAGGGGGCGTCCGCTTTGTCCGATGTAGTGTTTTTCGCAGTTGGCACAGTTTATTTTGTAGATGATGTTTGATTTGTTTTCTTTCGTTATTTCATCCCTTGGTTTGCATAGGATTGATTGTAGTGATTTTGTCGGTTTGTGTGCCACACCTATTCCGAAGGTTTTCAGCAGTCTCCTTGCGGTTTCTGATATGCCTTTTATGTATGGTAGAGCGATCCTGTTGTTCATTCCTATGCTTGACTTGGGTTCTGATGCTGCGTGCGGTTGATATTTTTCGATTGTGTAGCTGTTCTTTTGAAATACGTCCTTCAGGTATTTCTCTTCATTTTTTCGTGCTGACAGTGTGTCCTCGCCCTCTTGAACAAAGTGTGTACGCAGATGATTTTGTGAGCTCTTGGGTTGTTGCTATTGTAGTTGAGAATGTGATCAGTATGGGTCGGATTCCTATACACTTGAGTTTCCAGTTTTCCTGTGTCGGTTCTAGTGATTAATATATCCAAGAATGATCGTTTGTTGTTTGACTCCTGTTCCATTGTGAACTTGATATCATCGAAGACGTTGTTGATCAGCTTGGAAGTGACGATGACAAATTTGTCGTCTACATAGCGAATCCAGATTTTCGGCTTGATAACTGGTAATATCACTGATTCTAGTCTTTGCATCACTGCCTCTGCGATCAGTCCTGATATTGGTGATCCCATTGGTATCCCTATCGTTTTTGTTGTTGAATTGAAAATACGTTGTTAGGCATAAATCGATGCGTCCTAGTAGACTTTGAATTTGAAGCTTCGTGTACTTAGTGAGATTTGTGTCGTTGGTGAGTAGCAAGAATATAGTTTCTTTTGCTAACCTTGGTTCAAGTAAGGTCAATAACGCCGTTACATAGAAGGATATCATCAGTTCGTCGTTGTTGATTTGAACGTCCTTAATTTGGTCCAGGCATTGTGTGGGGGATCTGATGGAGTGGTTGGATGAATCTACTAAATGTTTCAGTATTCGTGAAACTTCTTTTGACAAATTGTATGTTGGCGTTCCGAGGAGTGCTACAATTGTACGCAGTGGAATGTTTGGTTTGTGTATTTTTGGTCTGCCGTAGAATCGAGGGCAGACCAAACACTTCACCTCTATCTGAAGTTTGTGCTGATGATGTCATTCAGAAGAACGATGAAAGCCCCACGACCAAACCATCCAGCTCAGAGAAAAAACTCCATCGAAAACCCCATTGACTTTTGGATAAGACCTCTGGATCAAACGGTCCCTAAGATAACCACATGCTGAATTAAGGATAGCGAGTGAAGTAGTCGAACGCGTTGACAACTTCATTTATTTTGGAAGTCTCATCAGCCCTAATGGGTTGGTGTCTGAAGAAATCTCAGCACGGATTCGAAAAGCTCGTCACCTATGGCGAAGGCGAGATATCCGTCTATTAATGAAAGGACAAGTATACTGAGCAGCAGTTCGTTCTGTTTTACTTTACGGCAGCGAAACATGGCCATTAAGAGTAGAAGATACTCGTAAGCTACTAGTATTTGACCACAGATGCCTTAGAAATATTGCTGGCGTCTGTTGGGATCACCGGGTAAGTAATAGTGAGGTTAGATGCAGGGTATTAGGGATTGATGATGGTAAATCAGCTGATGAAGTTGTGAATCTTCATCGACTGAGATGGTTGGGCCACGTGTTACTCATGTCTGGACACCGATAACCACGACTTGCAATCCTAACCGTTGTTGAAGGTGGTTGGAAGAAAGTTAGGAGCGGCCAAACCAAAACGTGGTATCAGTGCTTGAAGTCACTAGCTTCTAGTCTGAGCCATGTTGGTAGATGCAGACTACTTGGTTGAGATCCGCGTGACTACCGTGACCAATGGTTGGAGACTCTTAGTGACATGGCTGACAATCGACCACAATGGCGTAGGTGTATACACTCTCTGTCTTCCCTTAGACTAAGAGATTGAAATCGCTTCATATCTTTCTTTCTACGTACTAAATCTTTCTTCCTGTACTATATTCTTATATGCAATCTTTCTTTTGTATATCACCACCTCTGAATTAACTACTCCTAAGAATTCGGTGTTAATCTTGTGTTAATGAGGTATGACAACTTGGACCGATGCATATATGTGCCTGGTCCTACGTTGTAGCTGGCTGACTTGCTTCAATCTGTGTACCCAGACAGTATGTCAGTTTTCTCACAAATATGATAAGGTATAACTATGAAGAAAGTGCTAATATTCGCCCCGCTAAGCTACCTACTCAACCGATACTCACTATGATTCTATTACAAACGTGTCGAATTTACAAAGCATCGAACTCCTATTCCGTTCTCTATTTATCTTTATATCCCAACTTACTCAGCAGCTCATCTACGTCGTAAGCTCCGTCTTGTCTAAGCGAGCTCAAGTCTCTAAGTGGTCGAAACCATGGATGCCACCACCAAATACAGAATCCAGACCAGTTTTTCCCGAAAAGTCAAATGCTGTCCTACTCCAACGTCCGTACACTGAAGAAAATGAGACAACAGATAAGTTTGGTCATGCACTTGGTAACTGCTAACATTGATGTTTGCAGTAGATCACAGACCTTTATACAACATTTTAGTGAATTACTACTAAAGCTAACTGCGAATTTGACATTAAAATACCGTCACAATTATCGCATACCAACAGTCGTGCTTCCTCATATCATGATCACCTTCGTCTCATTGAGGACTATCACCTGAGATTGTGTGTTCAAATAGGGTGTGTCTGAGAAATTTATTAACATCTTGAAGGCTGACTACACGAACATCTCAGACAGTAAGTGCACACAAACACATTTTTACATTATTTCATTCCAGAAACCCCTTAGGTATGATTCGTTAAGTTTGTCATTCCCCTTCAACTTTTTCAATGATAATATCGTGAAGACTGCTCTGATCGAAATATATAGCGGTGGTGGTTCGTTGAAAGGACACATAATACATGTCCTAATCACGTTATTTAATGAAGACACCACCTTGTTATCTTTTTCCAGTACCCTGAGTCTATCCTTTGCATTGCTCATTCATTTCACAACCATAAATAGGACAGGTCAAACTAATGTGAAGTTGGAAGACGGACGTTTCACTTGTAACACAGGTACCACAAGTTGTAAGAGTCAAAGAGACTTTCTGAAAAGTCAAAAGTGGAAACTTTGAGGAACCGACAACTCAAGACTGATGCATCTATCGAAATATTAGGTGAGTATTTTACGACTTGATATTCCAACAAAAACAGTCAAGTAAACAACATGAACAACAGTCGTTTAAATTATATGTATTCTCAAAAAATTAATTACCAGGCCAATCTGTCAATGATATTAGACAGAATAACAGCTAAAGCAAATACACAAATATACACATATGTACATAACTATTTACAAACTGGCCTTAAGCCGGTGGAGTCAATAAAAATAAACTAAACACAAGTACAATACTTTTCACTCAATGTATTGAAATAACAAAATATTGATTGCGATGCCTGGGCCAACATGATATATACATCATTTCTAGGAGCAATATTTAACTGTAAGAGTATGAAGAGTTCTTATTATTTCGAAAGAATGAATTAAAATAAAGGTTTTCTTGAAAGAAATGATGAACAGCAAAATCGGTGGGACGCGAGATCGTACAAACATCCATCAATATGAAAGGTCGTGTGGCAAAAGTAACAGAAGCCGAACAACTTCAGCTTCAAGTAAATTACATGGATTGAAAGGATACTTATTTAGCAACAGTGTCAGCATCAACTAGTTCCTTTGAATCCAAGTTATTCTGATCAACTGACGACACAAGATACACTAAATTACGTTGAAGAACGGCCTGAAGTTGGACCGATTCACGGAATCGACCTTTTCTAGCAAGGTCAGAAACTAACTCGATGATATGCTCGTTCTCGTCTAAAAGCTAAAAGTTTGAGGAACAACAATCTATGGGTACTTACACGCTTGGCACTTGTTGCTTCATGAGCGATTACATATCTAGAACTATTTTGCGCAAAGGCTCCAGACATTTCTGCGTATTGGGAAATTGGAACCTGAAGATACAGTCAAATTAATGCTATTTGAAAACCTTCATGAAAAAGAAACAAAAAACACAGAAACATGGGTCCCAGTGACTTGAGATTTGTGACGAGAAAATCCGGTAGGACTATAATTTGTGTCAGCCTTTGAGTGGCGCTAAAGTGACCTCCAGAATCCCCATCTATTTACCAGAGCTAGATAAACTATTGCGAGAAATTAGGATTGTGATATGCAGTTGACGGTTAGAGTTAAGAGATAGACTGGGAGTTTTCATTACAAAATTGCGTCAGCTAAACTGCTAAAGCTCCATTTATCCAAATGGATGAATGAACTTCGCGCCAAAATCCAAAACCCATTACCCTAAATCTGATCGGTTTGTCTATAAATTATAGTCTCACCGAAAAATGATTACTCACTACCTCACGAAACTCGCCACTATTGAAATGTCTAACTTTGCCCCCTTTCCATACTTGACAAATATGGTGAATGTAGAATCCGATACAAAAATATATCAATCCAGTTTAGAATAATTAACAATAAACTAAAATGAAAGCATATAGAAAGCAGCAATTCCAATTCTGGATCATGAGGTAAAAGACCAGTTGAAATGCTTTTAGGGTGAGTGCTACCTGTACAAAAATTCAACGATGAAACTTGGAGCATGAGAGCACTAACAAACTTACGTATAACATTCGGATTACAGCCTACACTAATCTTCCAATTTCGGGGGAAAAAGCATCAGTTTTACGGAAACCACAAAAGGAACATCTGAGGAAGTGACACAAAACCTCAGAATTTAGAGGAAACTAAAAATGTATATGACTTTGGGGTAAACCCCGAAATTCCCCCAAAATCAGGGAACTGGGATTAGGCTACCCAGTCTCCCAAGTTTGGGGAAACCTCCAAAGTAAAATGACCTCCACCAAGGCTAAAGGGGAATTCCCTCAGATCTTGGGAAATTTGGTGTTTCTGTGCCATTTCTCCAAAGTTCACTGTAGCGTCTTCCCCGAAAAAGGGTCAAATTTTCCCCAAAATTGGGCGCTCGCGTACAACTATACATATTACTATGACCTCAGTGTAATAAAACCCTCGATGCCGTGGATTTCACCCTCGCAGCCATCCTCACAGGCATATTTGATAGGAAAACTTTTAAATTACAATCGAATCCTATTCTCTAGTTACGATAAACACCCAGCTGCTTGCCTAGTATTCCGATATATTTGCTTAATAATTTAAAGTTCTAAGTCTTTATAGCTTCGTCGAAATACTGAAATATAGATGGCAGTTCACTTAATGATTGAAGGGAGTGTTAATTTCAGTCGCGAATAACTTTTGTTAATCACTCTCATAATGCAAAACACCATTACGTCGAAAGTAACGTGCAATTCAAACTGCAGCCTTTCTTTCTTTCCCGACACAACACTCAATGTTCCAGTTTCCGTTTGGGAAGGACAGGAGGCTTGATGGTCTGTGTTAGCCCTGGCAATGATGGTCTCTCAGTTGATTTAACTTTCTTTTAAAAGAGTCAACGGATGGAACCTCAACCACGTGCTGAGGTAATGAATTCCACTCGTTGATGATTCGGTGGGAAAGTCGATAGTCAGCTGACAAGTAATTTGTTCTCTGCTTATGAACGTTTTTGGAGTGTCCTCTTAAATTCTCTGTTTTGGAAGACAGGGAAAATGAGGGCATATCAGGTGCAAATTTAGCACTAAGCAATTTGAAAACTGTAATCAAGTCGCCTCTAGTTTCGCGATAGGACAATAGGAAAAGGTTCAGCTTAGCCAGCCGAACCTCATGCGGAAGCTTCGCTATTCCGGGATGAGGTATAGCACTGGCCCCAAAACTGTACCCTGGGGCACTCCACTAAGCACAGTTCTCTAGCTAGATAACCTTGAGTTCACCCTTACTCTTTGTTGACGCCCAACTAAGAAGTCTTTTATCCACACAAATAGATTGCCTCCAATCCCGACATTTCTTAACTTATATAACAGCCGGTTGTGCGGAATTTTGTCAAAAGCTTTGCTGAAATCAATGAAGGCTTTGTCTACAGGTAACGTTGAAGCACATTTTTGGACAGTTTGACATACAATCTTCAATAGTTTCATCCGTCCCCATTTAGAGTATGGAAACATAGTACTCCCCCCTCGCTCCAAAAGGACAAGGTCACTTTGGAGCGTATCCAACGGTGAGCCACGAAATCAGTTCGAGGACTCAAATCTAAACCTTACGAAGAACGCCTCCATTCACTGGACCTTTACCCATTAGAGTATAGGCGTCTTAGAGGTGATTTATTAATGGCTTATGGTATTCTTAACACTTCTGGACATCCTCTTAAACACCTACTTAAGCTTAGTTCGACTAATAACCTAAGGGGTAATACCCAGAAACTGGAAACACAACATAGCAAGACGGAATGTAGACACAACTTCTACTCCTTAAGAGTTGTCAAAAGCTGGAATTCGCTGCCGGCCGAGCTAGTTCAAGCGACTTCTCAGGAGTCCTTCATGAGGCAACCTGACCTACTCTTAAGAACCAAGAACAGCATCACACTATGATTTACCAATTTCTTTTCCTCTTTTATTGTTAACATACCTAGGTTCCTGCCTGGAGGATTTGGTGATCCCCTGCTACTAGACACGGTTTTCATCGAGAAACTTTAAAAGCTCCTTCCGAATAAAATTTTCTAAGATTTTAAAAACCTCACTAGTTAGGTTAACGGGGCGGTAATTCTCAGGTTTGTGTTTTGTACCTGTTTTGAAGACAGGACTTACTATGGCTTTTTCCAGTCTTTGGGTAAACGACCCTGCGTTGCGGATAGATTAAATCATATACTTAAATGGTTGCTCTGATAAAGCAAATTTCAATCTCAGTAGTAAAGATAAGAGATCAATCGATCTCTATTAGCCCTTGCAATTTGTAGTACTGGGTAGATTTGATTTTGTTTTTAATTTATCAAAAAGTACTGACATTACTATCTAAATAGGACAGTGATATTGTTTCTCGTTGAATTAAATAACTGTTTTGATCGTAAATTACACATCACAACTACTGTTTACACTTTATTTGCACCTACTCCAGTTAAAGTGATATTGTATTGAGTGTTAAGATTTTCCTTTTGTGTATTTATTGCATACTCGGTCGACTTTTACTTGATTTATTTAGTTAAGGTTTGAGAATTCTTTTACATATCTTATTTGTGTCACCATTGTAGCTGATTTTCAAGATGGCCAGCTCTGCTCATGAATGTGGACAACCATATTGCTTATTCCTCGTGGAGGAAGGGATGCAATGTGTTGAGTGTAATAAGTGGTTCCATAAAATGTGCACCCGAATAAACCCCACTGCATATAAAAGGTGCTCAAAGCCGAACTCTCATTGGCTTCGTAGTTTTTGTTGCTCGAGCAAACCATTACTCATCCAGGTAACAATTAGCCTCCTGGTGTTGATGAGGGTTGTACTGGTAGTATTCGTACTGATGGCGAAGCTTACGTTGGTGTCGTAAGTGCTGTCACGGCGCGAGCCAGACATCTAACTGTTCAACTCGCAATTAAACCGTCTACCCCGGAACAATCGATGAGTGACAGCTCATTAGATATTGGTGGGCATGTTGCTACAGCAGCAAACGGTGGCCCAGATAAAACAATCGCTGTCCCGAGTGGTTCTAATGTAGATGTTACGACTGATGGAATATGGATGACGGGGAAACGCAGAGGAGTAGGAGAGACAGCTCGAACTAATGACCGTTTACTTGATAAGTCCTTGGTGAACTCTCAGAACATTCCGTCAATATACCGTAGTCCGTTCTGCCTTGCTGACGACTTTATCTGAAGGCACACCTGTTCTTGTAGTACGGCAGAATGTTGTCTCATCATTGGGGACTTCAACGCATAGCATATCAACTGGATAGTGCTTACAGCTCCAGGTAGTGGTTTCGATAGCGACCTTTTATCTACCGTTATTCAGTGTGCACTTTTACAATGTCTTACTAAACCGACACATATTGATTTGCAACATGATCCGTCGCTGCTGGACCTCGCCCCCACCCACCACTGTGATGACGTCTAGTGAACACTAGTGAACAGTGATCACGTTGCACTTCACTTTAATTTTAGGAGACATGGTGTACGATTCGTATCTGCTCCACCCCGTCCCAATATCCGGCGAGCCAATATTCCCGCAATCAGAAACTGTGCCGTCTCGATTGATTGTTCGGTCGACGCAGAAGAATCGATCAAAGATGAATGGAATAGGTTTAAGGCTACCGTCGCTGTTTATCCCATGGTCAGCACGTAAGCTATCACATTGCCCTCCATGGATTAACAAGCAAACCCGAAAGCTGTTTAAGCGTAGGAAACATTTCTGGGACTTATTCTTGTTGACAGCTCATGCGTCATTTAAGCGTGATTGCCGAAATTCCGGAATATTTATAAGAAAACCATAGCCAAATCCCGCGCTGCCTACGAATGACAGTTGGTACATGATAGCCGTACTTGTCCGAAACGATTGTTTCCGTATGATAAACGGCGAATGAAACGTAGTGATGATATTCCCCCGTTACTGTTACACAAAAATTCAGGATTACTAGCTGAATCAGATCGTGCAAAAGCTGAGAGTTTTTCAAACTATTTTAGCGAAGTCTTCTCTACGTTTATTGTAACAAGTACTTGTCCCACTCACACCGAGATACCAGCCATTGAATCTGTACAGGTGACTGAGGAAACAGTCCTTCCGTTGAAAACTAACCTCAAACTTTGTAACATACCGGGCCCTGACGGGTTTATCCCCGGCTGCTGTCATCTCTTGCGGACATTATTTCAAAACCGCTTGCGACACTCTTCAACATGTCCCTTTCACTCGCTCAACTTCCTAGAGATTGGAAGGACGCTATAGTTAGTCCTATATTTAAGGACGGTTAGAGACAGATCGTATCTTACTACCGGCCTGTCAGTCTAACGAGCATTGTCGTCAAGTTACTTGAAAAGATTGCTAAGCCACATAGATTCATAAAATCTGTTAGCTCCTGAGCAACATGGATTTCGTAACAAGCGTTCATGCTTGACTAACTTACTCAATGCGAGAGAGGATTGTACAGCAGCCTTGGATAAAGGTCTGTCTGTCGATGTGATATTCATAGATTTTAGCAAAGCATTTGACAAAGTTTCACACGTGGGTCTTATGCAGAAGCTCACGAGCTTCGTAATAATAGGTACTGTACAAGAGTGGATAGGTAACTTCTTATGTGACCGCAGACAGAGAGTGAGAATCAACGGAACGTTATCCGATTGGAAGCCGGTCAAAAGTGGTGTACCCGAAGACACCATCTTAGGCCCTCTGTTCTCCCTTCTCTACGTTAATGAGTTACCGCTGTTGCTTATGTCGTCGACATTATTGTTTGCGGATGATGTTAAAATCTGGAGAACAATAAAAAGTGAAGCTGACCACCTGGATCTTCAAGCTAACTTGGACGATTCAGTTAGATGGGCTCGAGGTTGGTGCTTGGAAATCAATTCTAGGAAGAGTGTGCCAATGCACATCGGTCACGGTAATAGTTACCATTATACTATTGATGGTAAACCTCTCCCATGCGTTCAAGAACATAAAGACTTAGTAGTAGTAGTAATAAGTCATGACTTGAAAATAAATACGCATCGCAATGCAGTCGCTGTCAAATGGTCGCTTCGCCGAGCATTCAAAAATTTGACGAGGAAACGTTTCGAATTTTATATCCCACCTATGTAAGACCACATTTAGAGTACTGTATCCAAGCAGCTAGCCCGTGTCTGGTAAAGGATACTGACTCCCTTGAGCGTGTCCAGTGTGTGGGAACGAAATAAGTGAAGGATCTTTCTAGAATCCCTTTTGATGAGCGTTTAAAACAACTAAACCTTCTCCCCTTGTCGTATCGTAGGACAGGAGGTGACCTCATACTGGCTTTTCGTATCTTTAATTATGATTTGGGTATTAATATGTCTTATCTTTTTGCTCCCTCTAACACTAATAATCTTCGAGGTCATAGCAAGAAGTTTCGTAAACCGCGATCTAATAAAGTTAAAGTGGGGTCCCGTTTTTCTCATCGAGTAGTCAATCATTGGAACGCCTTACCCGAACATGTGGTATCAGCCCCATCACTGAATACTTTCAAGGAGAAGCTGGACCTTCACTGGGAACCAGTGCGTCAGGATTAACAGAGGTTCACCAACCTACTATCTTTATTATTAAAGACGGAAGACTGATGGGGGAACTCGGTGATTCACTAGTCCGATTCAGATTTATCTGGTAGGGACAGAAGGCTAAAAGCCTATGTAAGTCCTGCCTTACGAAGCTTCTGTGTGTCTCCAGTCTTCTCTTGAAATGGTTCCAAGAATGTAGAGGCGCCACATGTATTCGGAGTTAGACATCGCCTTTAT